TTCTTTCCATCAAATCAAAGTGAGTGTTGAATGAACAGCAGACTGCATGTACCTAAACATGCACAATAAACCTTTTTGTGTGTCTTTGTAGTATCGTGTTTCTTTGTGGCTACTTAATAATGTTTGTGCTAAATAAGAACCATGTGTCTGAGTTATTGATTTTTGCCTTCAAACATAAATACATCCACACAGATTATTATAAGAGTATAGCATATGCATTTGCTCCGTGGGTACAACCTGCACAGCATTTCAATCCATTTGGGGTTCATACGGTGACCTCAGATTATTATGCTTAACTATTAATGCACAGGATCAATCAATAAAGAGCTACAATATAGTTTTTTCTGCACCAATCACATAAACAACCACAGCTTCTGAGGCTTGGTGTGGATTAGGAGGTAGAGCAAGCCGTCGACTCATTGGACGGTTGGTGGTTTGATCCTTGACTGCTCCAGCCTGCATGCCAAAGTATCCCAAACCCTGAGTTGCTCCTGATGTGCTCACACAGGAAAATTGTTCAAAACTACAGATGTATTATCATCTCCCCCACCTGCACTTTAGGTACATATAAAAAGAAAAAATCTTGGTGTATTTTACTGTATATAGCAACCATCTATATACATAGTATTTCGGCTTTTTTGTACACTGTTCTCATTGTGTTTCTTCTTGGTTTTTTATTTTTCTAATATATCTCTAATTCACTTTTTGTTCCTTTCCCTCGTGCTGGTGTAATAAATGAATTCCCCCCAGAGTGGGATTAAATAAAAATCTATGTGTGTTTGTATTCTTGTTGGATTATGAGTGCAAGTTTTCCTTTCCCCTCCTAAGAATAAATGTGCTGGAATGAGAGTACAAACCCTTGAATCATTGCTAACTTTGTAGTTCTGTTGTTCAGAAATGGTGCAACAGTTTGCACAGTGCTCGCATTTAATGTGTAAAATCAACAGTTCTGACAATAATCAGCAGATACTTGTAAAAGGTTTTCGTGTAGAAAAAAAGCATAAATCTGGACTTGCTGTGTGTGCAGACACCTGAAAATACAAGCTGTCCCTGCAGGTTGCTGGTTTGAGTCCCTGTTCAGATACTGGTATTTCCCAGAGGATGATCCCCTCACTAAAGAGTGCACGAGAAACAACTTTAACAAACATTAAGAATACTAATTAGCTCCTAATTAGTAATGAAAAAGAAAAAAAACTACATGTACTTGCGCTGCATTCACTGCTGTTCAATGAGGGCCATCATGCGCCCCCTAGGTGAACTGCAGGCACACTCTGCATAAATGAGAAGAGTCCGGGCTGTCCGTCCACTCTCACTGCACGCATTCTCTTCTGCACTATTACCCGCCGGCGTCTGCTGTGTAGAAAACCGAGCGCACCTCTCATTCAGGGACGAACAGGAAGTCCGGAAAAAGGAAAAATCTGAGGGAAGGGAAAAGTTACGATTTTATGAAAGATGAGTCGCATTTATCACAACACGTCTCTGCAGAACAAGCCGGTCCACAGTGAAAGGTTTGACCGTGCGTGGTGTCCCTCTGCGTTTGAGAGGTATGTGCTCGCGTTCACACGCCACAGTGTTTCCCCTGTGAGGGGGCAGCACCAGACTCCGTCAATAAATCCCTCAGTGTTCCCAGAGAGCAGATTTGTGAGTTGTACACTGTTCAAAACATTTTAAAAATGAAATTATCTCGGGTATATGCAGCACAGCGAATGTAGGTGGATGTACGACCAGCAGTATCAGAGCGCCCTGGCTGCACTTCCTGTTGTGGCCACTAGAGGCCGACACAGTATAGTATGGACTCCCATGTTCAGCATAATCAAAGTGCTTTAGATGACATTGTAGAACTAACACAAGGCATTTTCTCAAGGTGCAGAAGTGAATTAGCAAACGTCACAAGTGTGAACTCAGAACCTCCTCAACGCTTTTCTATTTGTTTTGCATTTTTCAAGGAAAACCATGCTTCAAAGCTAGCCGCACCACCTGATAAGTGACTGCGTTGTAGCTTCAAAGAGTCACTAAGCTGTTAACCAAACAGCTGACATGGTTTAATATTGGAGTGACTTAACATCAGTTTAAATGTTTCACTTTTTTATTACAAAACTGTATTGCTTCCTTTTACTTACAATTAGAAAGAAACTAATAATTCAACTGATGGTCACCGTGTCTTTTTTGGATGAGCCCGGACCGTGGGGCCTGTCTATAACAAAACCAGGCTAATAGGGGTCACTGGACGGAACCTCTTGACCCCGTTTGGGCCTTTTTTTTTTTTTT